CAGCAGGCGCCGTTCAGCAGCTCCCCGTTCGCGTTCCGCAGCGCGCTCAGCCGCAGCTCGAAATAGCCCATGGGCCGCGCCGCCTAAAAATAAGGCAGAGAGCGCGCGAGGGAGGCGCGGGCCGGGGTCGCGAGCGGGCGCCCCGCCCCCACTCGTCCGCCAGCCCCCGCCGAGCCCCGGCCGCGGCGCGCGGCCCCGAGGGTTTCCGAACGCAGCGCTCACAGGCGGTGCCGCCCGGCCCCGAGGGACGGCTCGGTGCGCCCCGTCCGCGCCCCCTCGCTCACCTGCACGCAGAGCGCCAGCAACAGCAGCAGCCGCCGGGGCAGGCGCCCCCGGCCCCGCTCCCGCATCTCCACCTCGACCCCGCTCGCCGCCGCCGCCGCCGCCGCCCCTGCGCGTCCGGCCCGGCCCGGCCTCTCTGAGCCCGCGCGCCCTCCGAGCGCCGGCAGCGGCAGCGGCGGCGGCAGCGGCAGCGGCGGCGGGCGGGGTCGAGGCGGCGCCGCGCGGGTCTGGGCGGCGGCGAGCGCGCAGGAGCGGCGGGCTCGGGCTCGCAGGCGGCTGCGCTCCGACCCGGCTCGGCTCCCTCCCGGCGGCGGCAGCGGCGGCGAGCGGCGGCGAGCGGCGGCGGGTCCCGGCCTCGGCTCTGAGCGCCCGCGCTCCCGGCGCCCGCAGCCAACAAGTTCGGGACGAGACTGACAGCTCGCTCGCCCATTCGTCACCCGCGCACCTGCATATGCATGAGGGGGCGGGGCAAAGCCGCGGGGTGGGGCTGGCGGGGGTGCCTGGGCGCCGAAGCTTTAAAGGCGGCCGAAGGCGCCTCCCGCTAGCGTCCGGCCCTGCGCCCGCTTCTCGGGACGCGGGGACCGCGGGGGCTCCGGTGACTCTTCGGCCGAGCCCGGCGAGAAGGGACCGGTGCTGCAAAGCGGCCTCGGCTCGCACGAGCCCCGCCGCAGGGTGTCAGGAGCCAAGGGGTGGGGCGCCCCCTGAGGTCACCGCCGCGGTCCCCTCCCATCAGTGCGCCGCCGCTGCGCTCCTCGAAGTCCCAGAGGAGAGATGTCGACTCCAGGACAAATCAGGGCTCGGCCCCCACGCGGGGCGGGCGCGGCCTGTGACCGAAGCTGGGCCCAACCTACTGCGCGCCCCCCTTCCCAAGGGAGGGACCCCTCCGCGCCGCTCCCACCGCCTCCGCGCCGGCCGCAGGGGGCGCTGCTCCCCGCCGACGCCAGGGGTCTCCCCGCCGCACGGCTCGTGGGTCCGGCAGCCAGGCAACAAATGCTCCCAGGCGCAGCCTCGTGTCCAGCTCCGCGCTGGCGCAGGGTCGCCAGGACACTGTGGAGGAGCGCCCGGGCCGGGGTCCGAGCTGGGGCGGCGGCAGCGAAGGACGGTGCTGCACGCCCAAAAGGACAAGGCGGAAGCCACCCAGAGGCTCCTCTTGCCATCCGGGGCGCCAGCCCCCACGTCCACGGAGGCAATCCCATGAGTTCCTCTTCTCCAAACATCACTCACCCTCGTCCAAGCAGGGTCCCTTCCAGGGCTGGGGGCACCTCGGCTGTCAGTCACGACGCGCCCTGCAGGGCTCTCAGGCCCCACCTCCCCAATAACTGGACCCTGTTTTCTCCCCTGGATCCTCCAGCAAATCTGCCCCGGGGGGCCCTGGGGTGTGTGCCGGGGTCGCAGACCACTGCCTGGGGCTAGGCCCTCCCACAGACGGGCACGGAAGGCTTCCTGGAGGAAGGGAGCTTCGACGGAGACCGGCTGGGGCGAGGGGTAGGGACTCCTTCCGAGCACAGGCGCCGGTCAGGAGACTGTTTCTGAGGTGCCCCCGAAGGCCCAGTGTCCCGGGAATGACTGCTGTCACCCCCCGTTTCGTGCCCCCCACAGGCTGAGCGGCCCCCTCGGGATCCAGGCCTCGGGGCAGCTGGGGGCCCCTGGAGGGAGGGGCGGGCCTGACCCTGCTCATTCCAGGTGCTGCCCACCTCTGCGGTGGGGACCGAGCCCGCGCGGGCCTGCGGGCCGCGTCCAGAGCAGCCTTCCCTCCCGCGGCACGGGCTCACGGTGGAGGCCCTGCCCTTTGCTCTGGCCTGGAGCAGGTGCCCAGGTACTCTAGGCCCCAGTGCCAGGGGTCCCGGGCTCCATCCCTGCCCGTCGCCCCCCGCCCCAGGCCCCCCGCTCCACTGTCCATGGACGGCCCGGGCGCCTCTGCCGCTGCCAGCCAGGGGGGGAACAAGGCAGGCCGTCCCTGTGCACCCTCGGGCTCTGGCCAAGGGCACGGAGAGCTTCGACGAACCTGCCGATGGGCAAGCTGCCTGGGCGAGGCGGGCCCGCAACCCAGGGAGGGGCCCTCGGAGGCAGACAAGGCTCGGCCAGGGGAGCGGCCGGGACGGCACATGCCACGGCCCGGAGGCCAAGGGAGCCCGGCCCCCGGGCGGGACACGGGGCCACTGCCCAGAAGACGAGGGGTGCAGGGGAGGCTGGGGGCGCGGGGCTGAGCTGCGCCTCCTCGGGAGCAGTCTTCCTGCTGAGACCAACGGGCAGTCGCAGAAAGCAGCTGCGCTGGGCTGGGCTCCACATGGTGACTTACATTTGCACAGAGCGCCCCGGCTGCGGGGGAGGGGCGGCAGGGGCGAGGGGGCAGAGCGCCAGAGGGCCGGTCCCTGGGGGCAGAGGGCTGTGGAGGGGGAGTCGGGGTGAGTGAGAGAGCAGTCCCGGTGTGCCCCCCACCTCGGAGGGAGGGCCGGCCTCGGCCGCACCCGGGCAGGAGCTGCCGCGTCTCTGCGAGGCTTTCTGTGCTGGGAGCCGCTGGCTGGGCAGCACCGCGACGCCCACTCGCTGCATCTCCAGACCAGGCTCGGTCAGGAGACGCAGCCTCCCTGGGTGGGGCCTGCCCCGCCTGGGGCACCCAGACCCCTGCCTGCCCTGCAAAGCGAAGGAGACAGTGGCCCGGTCCCTCTGCCTCCCCGCAGACCCCTGGGGAGCGAGACCGGGGTCCCCTCGGTGGCGGCAGCTGCATGAGCATCAGGGCAGAGCTGGGTCAGCAGACCAGACCTCCTGTGGGCAGGGCGGCCTCCCTGGCCTGGGCCAGCACAAGGCCCACCCTTCCCGCTGGCCCCTTCCCCTCCTGCCTCCTGGGAGCCCCAGCCCCGACCCGATGGGGCCCAGGAGGTGGTATTGTCGGGGGAGGGGCAGCCCGGAGGCTGCTGAGGGACAGTGCCTGGGGCTCCTGCCACCGCGGGCCGGGCCTGGAGATCCAGAGGGGTCAGGGCCCTGCCTCCACCCTTGTGGGGCCAGGCTGCTCTGCCCCTTCCAGGGAGGCCCCGTCATGGACCCGGGGCGCGCGGAGCCGCGGCACCCAGGGGCTCACCCGCACACGCTCTGCGGCGGGTGCCGGCTTGGGCCGCGCCCAGCAGGGCGGGAAGGACCGCTCAGCCTGCTGGGGGCTTCAGGACTGGGCCGGGGCGCAGGCTGCCCAGCCTTTGGACGGAGCCGGCGGGGCTTAGGAGTGAGCTGTGCTTCCGTCCCGTTCTGCGGTGCTAAATATAGCGGCCAGGGAGGGGAGTTTCCGGTTACAGCCCCCCCCAGTGCCGGGAAATCGATGCCAGTTCCATTAGGCTCAGCAGCGGTGCCTGCTGACCGGCCCCGGGGCCGCAGAGTGAGGGGCCTGGACTGCAGCCTGCGCCCACCCCTGCCACGCCAGTCCAGGGCCGGGCACAGACGCCAGGGCACAAAGAGCACCAGCCCCGGCCGGACACGCCTCCCAGGCAGTGTGGCCGGCAGCCCCGGGGGTCCGCGAGGGCCGGGGTGGGCATCGGGCAGGCCGCGTGGGAGGCTGGTGCGGTGGGGCGGCCCCGGGGCGGCTCTCAGAGCAGTGGGGCTCAGGGCACCCCACCAGGCCTCCTCTGGACCCCCAGGCAGCCCAGGCCTGCCAGCCCTTCGGACACAGCACAGGCCCACAGGCTCCTCCCCACCAGCATGGGCGCACCTGGCTGGGTTCCCAGGAGGCCCCACCTGGGTCACCGCTGGCATTTGCATACAGGTGGTGCTGCTTAGGGGGGGTCTGTTGGGCACAGCCTCCTCGGGATGGCCTCGAATGGCGGGGCTCGGCCCCCACCCCTGCCCAGGCCCAGCATGCGAGGAACCTGGGTGCTCCTCCGCACGAGCCCACCAGAGTCTGCCCGCCTGGGGTCGGCCTGTGGGGGGCTCTCGTCAGGCGCCCCCCACCCGACGAGGGGGCCCCGGCCAGTGCCAGGGGCCGCGTGTCCTGCCCCTGCTTCTCCCACAGGTGCAGCCCAGGGCCCAGCCCCAGAGACCCCTGGGCACGGAGCCCGCCCCCGGGCCCCACCTTCCTGCTCTCCCCGGGCCCACCCGCCCCGACCCGGGCGGCCTTGCCCCGTTCCCCCAGCCCCGCAGCCAAGCGGCTGGCCAGAGGGCCGGGGGGCTCTGAGGGAGGGCCAGGCCGGGCCGCCACCCTCAAAAAGGTGGGCTGGGCCGCGCCCCCAGCTGACGTCCACGGACGTGGCAGCCCGCACACGCCCCCCACGGCGGGCTCCGGCGCGCCCGGGGTAGACGGAGCCTGCCTGGCCGAGCGGGCGGCCAGCCCCCCGGGACCGAAGGGCTCAGGGTGGACAGAGGCCCTCCCGCTGGGCCGTGTGCAGGGTGGGGGCTCCCAGGTCACACGCAGGCCGGCAGGTGGGAGGGCATCGCCCCACCGAGTCCCGGGGCCTGGGGGGCGCGGGGGCCCCCAGAGCGCAGGGTGAGCCAGCACAGCCCGCAGCTCTGTCCGCCACCCCCGACGGAGGCTGGGTCAGCCGCCGCCCCCAAGGCCCTGGTTCCCCCCGTGCCCTGGTGCCGGTGGGGCCGTCCCCAGGCCCGCGGAGCCCCTCCCCGCGGCACAGCCCCGGCCGAGGACGGGCCCCTCCGCGTCCTGCCGCCCCGCCCGCCCCGCCCCGCCCCGGCCCAGCTCGGAGCCGGCGGACACAGGCTGGAGCTATACAAGCCTTTATTGGGTCTGGGGGCTGGGTGGCCAGGACCGGCCTCTGTGCAGCCCTCTGGAACGTCACTGGGGACCCAGGCCCGGGGCCACGCAGCTGAAGAACCAGGAGACACCGAAGATGACGCCGAGGGTCTTGGGGACATCCGGGTTGTCCGCGAAGGCCTGGGCGCCCGCCAGGGGCAGGTGCACCACCTCGATGAGCTCGCCCTCCTCGGCCAGGCCCCCGCCAGGGCCGCCCCGCTGGGCGTCCGTCACCTCGGCGTAGAACATGGTCTGGCTGGAGCCAGTCACCCCCACCCCAGACCTGCGGGGGGGAGAGGGCGTCTGCTGAGCCTCCGCAGGCTGGTGGGTGGGGCTTCAGGAGGCCCCCTCCCCCGCGCCCGCTGGCCTTGAGGAGGAGCAGGCCGCGCCCTGTGAGGGGCCACAGGGCCATGCGGCCGCGGGGAGCTGACCTTGGTCCCGCCAACAGCTGGCCAGGACAGAGCCTCGGTCACAGCCCCAGCCCTGGGAGCTGGGAGGAGGGCCTGAGGCCCAGGGTAGATGGTAGACCCAGCAGCCGAGGCCTGGGGGGCGGGTCCAGGCGGCGGGCCCAGGCAACCTGGGGGCCGCGCTACGGCTCAGCCTCCTGGGCTCAGCCTCCTGGGCATCGGGAGCGCAGCCCCGTGCTTCCTGCCAGGCCCTCCGCCGGGCCTTCCTTCCCCACTGTGGGCCTGCCCCGCAGTGCCCCCGACCCCCTGGCCCCACCCCCGGCTGCGGAGGTGTGTGCTGGACGCCCGCCTGCAGCCAGAGACCCAGACGGGCCGCCCCCAGGGCCTGGGCCTGCGGGAGCTCCGCACGCTGCCACGGTCGGGGCACCAGGCACCAAGGCAGCCCGGGCAGGGGCTGGGGCTGGTGGCGGGGTGGCCGGGGTGGCGGCAAGGCCCCCAGGCCAAGTCCACAGGCCTCTGGCTGCAGGGGAGCGTGAGTCTCCTCGTCACTGGGTGGTGGCCACAGAGGGGGACAAGCACCCGGACAGAGGGCAACAGCCTGGTCTGGCTTCCAGAGCAGGGAGGCCCAGGCGTGGTTTGCGGGGAGAAGGGAACGTGGGGCGGCTGGGAGAGGTCCGGGACGGGGGCAGGCCCCTGGTCCGCGGCTGCCCTTGGAAACGCGCCCAGCACACAGGGCCGGAGCGCCGCTGCGGGGCCGCCGCTTCCCCCGCCTGAGGGCCCCCGCAGACCGACCTCGCCCGGCCGCGTCCCCTGCCCCCACCCCCTTATCTCCCTCAGACCCTTCCTGACGGCCCGTTTCCGCCCGCGACACAGCCTGCCCTTTGCTGGAAGCCCATCCCGGGGTTTCCAGTCCCAGTTTCCTCCGGCGTGTGAAGGAGGCGGGCGCGGCCTTTGAACCAGCCCGGCCGGACGGCACTGCCTCTCGCTCCTCACCCAGTCATCTCAGCGGCCGGCCGGTCTCGAGCGGGTGCTCCGGCCTACATGTGGCCTGGGACGGCCACGCAGCGGCCGGCCCACCCCGCCGCCCGGCCAGCCCTCCGAGGCCTCCAGGGACGACCGCCCCGCCCCGCCCCCGGCTCTCCTCCCGGGCCTCCACTCCGACGGGCAAGTCTGAGCAGGCGCCCCTGTCCACGGCCCTCCGGGCTGCCCCGCGTCCGTGGGCCAGGCACGGCCCAGCGCCCAGCTCATGCGCCCCTGCCAGGACGCCCCCCAGGCTCCCCTCCTGGGGGGCAGCCCCTCCGCACACCGCGCACCGCCCACCTGCCTTCTCCCCGCCCCTTGCGCCCGGGGCAGGCCCCTTGGAGCCTCCCCGCCCCCAGCAGGCTAAGGGGACATGCAGCCGCTTCCTGGCCACCCCGAGGGCCCCCACAGAACACCGAGGCCCCTCACACCGGACGTCCAGCCCTTCGACACACTTAACGTGGAGGGCCCTGTGCCGCACCCCCTTCCTGGGACTGGAGGTCAACTCTAACCCCTCCAGTGGCAGGCTGGGGACACCCCGACGGGGCCTTGGGGGCCGCCAAAGCCGGGGGCCCAGCCCGGCACTGCACGGCCCCTGCGCAGGGCTGGAAGGAGACAGAGCCCTGGGACCCTCCTCCGAGGGGCGTGGGCCCTGCCCCGGGGACGGCTTTGCACTCAGAGCCGCAGGACTCTGGGGCCCCGCTCCGGCCCCGCACTCCCGGGGCCGGGCCCACTGCAGGGTCCCAGGGGGATCTGCCCCAACACCCTGCCCTGGAGAGATGGACCCAGCGTTGGGCCTCCTGGGGACCGTGCAGTTGGGGGGCACACGGGCTCTGGTGGGGCCAGCCCTGAAGTCCAGGGTCCAGGCCACAGCGTCCCTCTCCCCAGGCTGCTGGGCCCCTCCAGGCCCAGGACGAAGCCTCTCCCTCCTTCCTGGGCCACTGCAGAGCATGTCTGTGACTCACCCCCACCCCCAGCGCCCGGCGCCTAATCCCGCAGGAAGTGGAGGCATCTGTCGGCAGCAGCTGCCACAGGCTGGGGGCCGCGGGGCGGGGGAGCCCCTGAACCAGCTCCGAGGGCCCCGGCTCCGGCCTGGATCTCGATTCGGGCGCGTTCCACCCAACCGCCCCGAGCACCCAATAGAAGCAGGAGGCGCTGCTCTGCCCGCACGGCCCTGGGGACGGCCGCTCCCGCCAGCCGGGGCCGCGCCGGCAGCAGGTGCCCTCCCTGGCCTCGCAGGCCCAGCCCCACTCACTTGTAGGTGGCCACTCGGCGCAAGTCGGCGGGGACCAGGCGGTAGCCGCACTCCTCCCAGGCCTCCTTGCAGGCCACCTCCTCCAGCGAGAGCCCGGGCTGGTCCACGATGCCGGCACACAGCTCGTAGGTCACCCCCGCCGAGCCGGGCAGGGACGCCGGCAGCGCCCGGGGCCTGTCCTGGTCCACGGCGGCCAGGGACCCTGGGAAGCGGCGCTCTACCTCGCCGACGTACACGGCTGGTGGGGGGAGGGCAGACCAGGTCACAGCCACATGGCGGCCGCCTCCCTGTAGGCCCGACCCTCACCAGGCCTCCGTCTCCCGGCTCCTCCCCGCCTGCACCGGGCCCTAGGACCACCAGGGGCTGGGCAGCAACCCTGCGGCGCCCCCGCCCCCGCCCCCACGTGGCCTCACCTGGCCGGAACTGCTTCACCAGCACCAGGCTCTGCCGCGAGGAGTTGAAGAGCAGGATAGTCACGCTGCAGGGCAGGCGATGGAGCTCAGCACCCGGGCGCCCCGCCCCCGCGCCAGCCGGGGCCCATTCCCGCCGCCCGCCCCCCGCCCCGGCGGCATGGGAAGCTGGGCCCCTTGCTCCGATGGGCAGAGCGAGGCCCAGGCGAGGCAGAGCTCACCAGGGTCCCACCGTCGGGACAGGGCCCAGCTGGCCGGCTGGGTGGCCGGGGAGGGGACATGCTGGGAGGTTGGGGGTGGGCGACTGACGTGACATGTGGTCCCCGATGGCCCGCCGCCTGCTGGACACACTGCTGGAGCCCTGTCACTGCCTAGCCCACGCCCCAGCGCTCGGGGGCAGGGCACGCAGAGGGCCTTTCTCAGGTCCAGCCTGGGACCCAGCTCAGCCTCCAGGCCTTGGGGGAACCCTCCATGACGGGAAAGGGGGAGTGAGGACGTTCGTGGGGGCAACACAAAGGCAGAGGCAGGGCGGGACTCCATGCCCTGGTGTCCAGGGTCCCCGTGGGCATCAGAGGGCCCCAGACCTGGCCCTCACCTGTCGTGTGTCTTCATGAAGTCCCATGACTTCTGGGTGCCATTCTGAAAGAGGCAGGCGGCGGTCAGGGCGGGCAGAGGGCTGCCAGCTCGGGTGGAGGCGCTCTGGGGACCTGAGGGGGCCAGGCAGGCCGGCCGGCGGCGCCAGCTCCGCCCACGGAAGCCCACTCACAGCCCGGGCCCACGGGGGCCACGAGCTCCCACAGGGCGGGGCAGGGAGGCCGAGGACAGCCTGGTGGTCTGCAGGGTGAGACAGAGAAACAGGGCACAGGAAGGAAAGGCGTCCCAAGCACAGCATGGGCACACCCAGCCCAGGAGAGGCCCAAGGAACCGCAGAGACGTACGCTGTCACCACGTGTGGGCAGGGGCAGGGAGGGAGGCCCCAAGCAGGCAGAGCAGAGACGGGGCTCCCACCGCTGAAGGCCCTCGGGCCACTGGACACAGGGAGGCGGGAGGGCAGCCGGCATCCTGAGAGCACCGGCCCTGGGTGCAGCTGGGGGGCAGCGTCACACGGGTGCCGGGTCACGGCAGGACGTGGAGGTTCACTGACGGTGACCGGATGCAGGACAACCCCTCCCCTGGCCCAGTTTGTGTCCCGCGCCGTCTCTCAAGCGCCCTGTGGTCCTGCTGCCCCGCCCCCGCCCCCACCACGCTGCCCCCAGGCCTGGACACCCTGTCTCAACGCCCTGCCTGGGCTCTGGGCAGCACTTGCCGTACGCAGGGCGGCGCCTACTGGAGGCAGCCGACCACACGCCAGGGGGTCCAGCAGGCAGGGGGTGGGAGGTGCCCTGCCAAGGGACGTTCCACCCAGCCCTTCCCACTCCCCTAAAGGTCTGTGTGGACCGGGCTGGACCCCGGGGCCTTGGGGCCCCGCCCTGGGGCCGCCCATCGCCAGCCCCTCGGCCACGGGTCAGCCCGAGGCCCCGGGGAACTGCTGGCCCCCTGGGGTGGGGTCTGTCCGGGCCACGAAATGACACGGACCCAAGCACCGGAGACACAGAAAGCACGGCCGGGGCTGCAGGAGAGAAAGGCCGCGAAGGGACAGACCCCTTTGTGAGGCGGTGGCAGTGCCCAGGCCGCACGGGGCTGAGGAAAGGGCACCGCAGGCCGGGGAGCCTCACGGGCAGGGCCCACGCCCTGGGCTCAGCAGAGCCGGGAGGACTGGCCTGCACGTGGCCTGGAGGCAGAGGGGCCCTGGAAGGGCACCGGCCGCTCAGGCACTGTCCCCAGAGGCCAGCACCCCCCCTGGACGGGCCCCCGGAAGGCCTGCCCCGGTGGCCCCGTGCCTGCTGTGCCCACCGCTTCCCGCAGTGTGTGTCACCTGAGCTCAGGACCAGGATGTGAGACCCCCGGTCCAGCCGAGGCGGGTGTGGGGGTGGTCACAGAGGCCCGCTGAGGCCCAGCCAACGCCCCCCACAGGGCCCAGGCCCGGCTCATCTTCCGAGGGGCCTGGGAGGCTGGGACAGGACTGGAGTGGACACAGTCTCCTGCCCCTCAGAACCACAAGGGTGTCCTGACTCCGGCCCATCCCTCTGTCCACCAGATCGTCCCTGACCAGGGCAGCTAATGGCCAAAGGCTACCCATGCCCTGGGTGGCACACACTGCCGAACCCGGTCCCGGGCGCCCTGCCTCGCAGCTCAGCTCTGGGCACCAGCGCCCACGGGCGGGAACACCCCGGCAGGCCCCCGGCAGGGCTGCTGCCTGCCACAGGGGGCGGGGGAGCAGGCGCGGCCACGGCCCGGCAGGTGTGGGTATGGGCCTGGGCCACCCTGCGCCCGCCTGCTGGGGCCCGGAGCCCCAGCCCCAGGGGCCGCGAAGCCTCGGTCAGGAGTCTGGCCGCAGGCCCGCAGGGACCTGCTCCTTCCAGGCCCATGCTGCCAACGTAGGTCTTTCGCGGAGCCCACGGGGCCCCAGCGACAGGGAAAGTGGGGGTGCAGGGGCCTCTCTCAGGCTGGACCCCAGGGGCTTCCCAGGATCAGTAAGAGGAAGCAGCCTGGAGAGGATGGGAGAGGCAAGAGGCTGCCGGCGGGGAGGCGCCAAACACGGACGGCCCAGGGCTGTCCGGGAGGCGCTCGAGGCGGCGCCAGGGCACGTGGAGCCGGCAAGTGAAGGGTGGGGACTCGAACTGGACAGAGCGGCCCTGCAGAATTTTGCAGGAGGTCAAAGGTTGGACAACCCGCAAGCACCTCTTGTGAACCTGCTAGGCGCCCACTGCAGAGGGAGGCAGCGCCGTCCCGCTCCCCGGGCCCGACAGGTGGAGGCCCCGAGGCCGTCCGCCGGGGAAGGCGCCCCCGCAGAGGCTCTCCAGGGCTCCCAGGCCCCGTCCGGCTTCCTCCTTCCCGGGCCCCCTCCCCGGAATGGAAACCACCTCCTCCAGGAAGCTTTCCCTGATCCCGGAGGAGCCCGGTAAGTCCCGCAGCAAAAAAAGGCAGGCACCCAGCAGAGCCTCCTTGGGGGAACGAGGGGGTCCCCAGGGGTCCCTCCGGGACCCCGTCCTCACCCGGACACGCGCAGTCCTGGAACCCCGACCCGCCCGCCGAGCCCGGGGGCGGGGCTCCGCGCTGGGGGCGGGGCTCCGCGCTGGGGGCGGGGCTCCGAGCGGCAGGCGCTTGCGGGGAGGCCGCGGAGGGGCGGGCTCACCTGGCGGTAGTGCAGCGTGAGAGGCTGCAGGTAGGGCGAGGCTGCGCAGCGGCCCACGGCCGCCCCCTCGATGCGCTCCATGGCGGCGCGCAGTGTGGCCCGGGCCGCGGCGGACACAGCGGGGCTCGCGCGGGCTGGAGCGGGCGGGCACGTGACTCCGTTCTGGGCCTGCGCAGCGCGCGCGGGGCGGGGCCGGCCGCGCGCAGGTAGGGCCTGCGGGCGGGTGCGCGCGCACCGTTCTGGGGGCGACGTGTGGCCTCGCGCGTGGGGGCTCACGGAGTGTGGGGCCAGAGGGGTCGGGTCCGAGGAGCGATCGCCTGCGCTCGGGGACTGGAAACCTCTTGATTAAGAGAGGGCTTCGCAGGGCGGTTCTGCCGGGAATGAGCCGAGAGGTTGCCTCCCCTACGGAGGTCGACCACAGCCCGAGGCGGAGTCTCCCAGGGGCCGGGCCACCGCAGCGACGGAGGGACAGGGCCCTGAAGAGAGAGGCGGCGGTCACGGCTGCCCCGCCGAGCCTGCGGAAGGGCGAAGGGGGGTCACCGGGGCTGGGCACGCGGCGGGCGCTGCGTGGATTGCGAGAAGCAGGGCGTGTGGACACCCCTGGGGGCCTCCGGCCTGTGCAGAGAGAAGGCTCTGGAAGGAGGCCGAGGCGGGAGGCAGCGCCAGGCCCTTCCCTCCGCGCCCCTGGGGTCCACCTGCCCTGCTCGGAGGAGCTGCGAACTCGCTGCCTCGGGGGCTGTGCCTCCTCCCTCGGGAGCCAATGCGACCCCGCCCCCCCCAGAGGCCCCTCTGCCCGGACACCGCGCCCTGGCTATGAAAGGGCCCTATCCTTCCTGGGTGTGGACCTCATGGCTCCTATGGCCACTGTCTCCCCAGGGACAAGTGCAGGTGGCGGGGCAGGGGATGGGCCCTTTGCCTGCTCTCAACTATGGCCCCGGGAGGGCTGCCCATGTGGCCTTGGCATTTATTCCCATGTTACCTACTGCCGTGTAGAAAAGCACCCCAGAATTTCGTGGCCCGGAGCACCATTTATTCCCTCCTCCCGCCCGTGGGTGTTGGCCCTGGCTGGGCCGGGCGGCCCTCCCTGGTTTCCCAGCAGCAGGCTCCGTGGGAGGCCCATCCAGCCGGGCTTCTTCGCCCAGGTCTGGTGCCTCAGCCCTGTGGCTGGAGCGGTGGGGTGCGCCGGCCATGTTGCGTGTGGCCCCTCCTGTGGGGCTGGCCTCGGCCTCCCCACGGCATGGTGGTCTCAGTGGTGATTCTTCCGGCTCCCCCAGCGCACGACCACGAGGCCAGGCTTCCTGTGACCCAGCCTGGAGGTCGAGCACCGTCATTTCTGCTGCATTGTGGCAGTCACCGAGAAGGTCCTGGGCCACCCCCAGGTTCCAAGGGAGGGGACTTCCCAAGCGTGGTGGCACTGGGGGCCATGGTTTGTAGGGATAGTCACAGAGACTAGCTGGCACCCCCGACTCGGGAGGGGACGGTGGGTCCCGACCTTGCCCTGGTGACCTGGAGGCCGAGAGCCCGCCCACTCATCAGTCCCAGAGACTGTGCCCCGCCAGGGGCCGGGCCAGGGGGCCTCCTCCCCCAGGAAGGGGGGGGGGCCGGGGGGCCCCGCCCGCAGCTGCCGCTGGTGAGTGCCTACCGCAGAGTCTGCGCGCGGCGGGAGAACGGGCGGCGTCTCCGCGGAGCTGCTTTCCTTGTGTTTGGGGGAAGTGACACCCGTGATGACGCAGCCGAGGGGCCGGCCGCGTGGGCAGCGGGCGGGGCCTGTGGGGAGCGGCAGGCCGGCGGCCCTCCGCCAGCTCGGGACGGGGCGCCGCCGCTCAGCGAGGCCCCCGAGGAGTGGAACACGGCAGCCTGGGCCCGCGTGTCCGTCGGCACGTGACGGTCAACAAGCGGCTCTGGCCACGCAACGGAACGTTAGTCACCGCGCGAAGCAAGGGCGCCGACCCCTGCCGCCGCGTGGCCGGGCCTGGACCCCAGCTGTGGGGAAGCAGCAGGCGCAGAGGCCGCAGGCTCTGCGACGCGTTTGTGCAGCATGTCCAGGGCTGGTGAATCCACGCACGTGGAAAACGATTCATGGTTGCCGGTGGCTTGGGGGGCGGCGGCTAATGAGGACAGGGCTTCCCTTCGGGGTGAGAGAACATTCTGGAACTGCACAGAGGCGGTGGTTACACGCTCTCCTGCGGGCACTAAATGCTGTTGTACACGGCGAAAGGGTTAATGTTCTGTGAATTTCGGTTCAATTTTAAAAGAATAAAAACGTGCCCGTTAGACTTCAGGAGTCGTTGGTGCTCGCCGTGGCCACCCCGCCGCACCCTGCCCCCCTGGGCCCGGTCCAGGCCGCGGCAGCTGCCCACAGCCTGGGGCCTGGGGACGTCTTGAGTGGGGCGTGGCTCTGGCTCCTTCCCTGCCGTGTCGAGTGTGTCCTGGTGGCTCAGAACCGGACCGCGGGGCCTTGGAGACCCGGCTGAGCCGCCGGCAGGTCCAGCACGGCTCCCTCACGCTGTCCCCAGCTCAGGGTCCTTTGCTTACTCGCGGCTTTGCCGACGGTTCTGGGGATCAGGGTGTAGACACTGGATGGGTCCGCGTCAGAAGGGTCTGGGAGAGGAGGGCCCTGGGAGGGTTCGGGCCCAGCGGCGCCGGAGGATCACCCCCCGGGGGGCCGGGCAGCAGGACACCTCGCAGGCTCCCCCTGGCTGCCACCTTTCCTGTGCCGGGGGTAAGGGTGAGATGGGAGGGGGACTGGCTGTGCTGTGGCCGCCACGGGGGAGGGCGAGCAGGGCTTCCAGCTGCCTGGGCAGGTGGACAGGTGGGCGCTGGCCCCCCCAGGGCCCGGCCTCCTCTGAGACAGGGTGACAGGCAGACCTGGGGGCGGAGGCGGCCGTCACACCAGCCCCAGGGGGCTCCGCGCGCCCGCACTGGGGCCTCTGGCCAGAGCCGCGCACGTGGGGCGTCCACGAACCCTGCCTCCCGCTCCAAGCTCAGGTCCCTCGGAGGCCGTCGGGCCTGCGGGGGACCAGGGGTCAGCCTCCAGGCTTCCTCTCGTGCCTCAGCGCCCTGTGCTGATTCCTGCCCCTCGCACACGGCGCGGGGCTGCGGGCCCACGCCTGCCCTCGGGGAGCTGGGGCGGGGGCCAGCCCGGACCCAGGGCGGGAGGCCCGGCCCCGCCGGAGGAGGAGGAGGCTGCCGCCCTGCCCAGGTCACGGCCCACGTGCTCGCCTTCTCCACGTGTCCCCCAGGACCGTGTCCCCCCAACTGTCAGGGCGCTGGGCCCAGCCGGCTGATGTAAAACGAGCCATCACAGAGGGAAAGGAGAAAAAGGCAAGGTTTTAACGAGTCCCCGTAGGAGGGAATGTGAGAGGAATGCGCCTCTCAACGTGCTACAAGGGCGCACACGCATGAAGTCCCGGCGCGGCTGAGGTCCAGGGCGCGCACACGCGCGCGCAGAAAAGCCGGGCCCTCCAGCTGGGAGGCTGAGGTAGGGACGCCTCTCCCACATCCATGCTGCGCCCACCTCTCCTCCCCCTCGCAGGCCCCTCCTGGGGACGGTCGCCCCCACGGTGGCCGCTCAGGGCGGGCTGTGTGTCCCCCACGTCTGGCCCAGACCCTGGATGCTCGTTGGTTTTCGTAAGTGGGGGCTTCTGGGCGAGGGTTCCCCTCAGTTCGCAGAGAGACGCCCCTCTCTGACGCCGCTGGGTCTGGACCTCCTGCCCAGGAGCCCCGTGCGGCCGCCCTGTGTCCTGCCTCTCCTGGGCGGAGGAGCCCCCCAACTCTCAGGCGCTGGAACTGAGGGGCGTGCTGGTGCAGCAGGCCCGGGGTGCATTCCCCTAACGCACAGTCTGAGGAGACTGTGAAGCAGACGCCCAGAAGCCCAGTCGTGAAGAGCACGATTCTCGCACCCTGGAGGCGGCGGGGGGCCGGGGCAGGGGGGCCGGGGCAGGGGGGCCCCGTAGTCACTTCCTCCAGACGCTGAGACCAATCCTCTGGACCTTCTAGCAGCGTCTTCACATCCCACGTCCACCCTGCGCTCCGTTCCCTTTTGTTTTGACGAGCTGCTCGTCCCAGGTCCCCAGGGGGACAGGCTGAGAGGCCCTGGGTTGAGGTCTGGCCTCCGCCGCCCCGAGGGTCCCCAGGAGCCGTTCCGGGGCCGTCAGCGGGCAGGGACACAGGCCCTCTCGGGGTGACGTCCAAGCCCACCCCCCGCCCGGGCATCCAGCAGGGCTCTGGTTTCTGCTTCTGCCCCCGCCCCCGGGCCCTGTCCTAGCCGCCCCCCCCCCCCCGGTGCAGGGCAGGAGTGGGCCCCCGCAGGCACGGCCGGGGGACGCCCTCGGTGTCACAGCGTCCGCCCTGGGCGTCGGGCACACGCAGGCGCAGCCGCCCTGCCGGCGCCGCTCCCCCGGCCCCGGGGTTGGAGGCTGGGGGCCCCCGCGCCTGGCCTCCCTCCTCCTGGGCTCCCACTCTCGTTCTAGCGGAGCACACCCGGCGGAGCTGCCGGAGCCAGCGCGGTGGAGGGCGCGGCAGTGACACCTCGCCCGTCCAGCAGGTTGCCGCCCGCGCGGCGCCCTGGTGCACCAGTGCGGCTGGGCTGGGTGCGGAGCCCTTGCTGGGAAGTCCCTTCGCGCGCCCTCCCAGCGGCCACGCCCCCCGCGGCGGCCGTGTTTTCGGGGGCCCAGGCGCTGCGCTGTCTGCCTGCTGTGCGTGTCACAGCGTTGGCGTCCCTCTTCGTCCTTTGCGACAGGACTGTGTTAAAGTCTGTTTTCTGGTGTATTCAGATGACGACCCCTTTCCTATGGGTAAAGGTCTCCATCTTTTCTTCTCAGTTGTGTGTGTCCTTTTGTTTTGTGGACGCATTTTGACGGCGTGGGGCCGGTGGGGGCTGCCGGCCCAGCCCACCCTGTCCCCCAAGTGGGGCAGGGTCGCCCCCAGACAGACGGCCCTGTGCCGGCCGGAGCCAGGCTGAGCGGGGGCAGCAGGAAGCACAGGGCCCACGGGCAGCAGTTCCCTGACCAGATCGGGAAGGGGGCGCAGTGTGGGTTGGGGTGACTCTCCCGGGCGGAGTGGGGCGGTCGGTGGGCCAGGCCCTGAGGCGCGGCGTCAGTCGCGGAGCTGTGAGCGGCACGCGGCGCCCCAGCCGTGACCTCCCCGTGGCGCAGCG